GCTTTTTTCTTGTGAGCTTAATGGTATTTGATAGAACGACCCCCATCCTTTCTTTGTGTCTATACGAGAGTCGTCTCTTGTGTCCCGGAGCTCTCGCTTTTGAGTTCCATTGAGCTTCTACATAGGAGGATTGTGTGTGGTTCTTGCTAGGAATGAAAGAGAAAAGAGTAGTGTTGGAGTGAGTTCTTAAAAGAGAGTATTGGTTGTTAAAGGTAATGTGGCAAGTGTTTAACCCTCTAATACCCCCCTCAAAAAGAAAAGAAAAGAGAAAAGGAAAGTAGAAGCGAAAAAGAGGTAATAAAACGGGGTAAATAAAGTAGAGAGTGCCACAAAAGAATCAAAGAGTATGCTCTAAGTGGGGTTTCTTGGCACTCAAGCCATTGAAACCCCCACATTGTTTTAGAACTCCTTCACTACCAGGTCGAAATGTGATAGAAACAGTAGACGGAGGAAGAGCGCTTAATGGTAGTTCATGATGGGTGATAGTTTGGAAGGGAGAAGCAAGGTTTTTGGCTGATGCTAGTGGCCATTGTTTGTAGGGAAGGTTCTTAGTCGAAACCATAGAACCTTCGGGTTTAGGGTGAAGATGTAGGACCTCATGATGTGTTTGCCACCACCCAAAAAGCCTTTTCCCCATGTCCTAGACAATCGGCAGTCATTTGATCCCATGTCTAAGACCTCCGGACAAGCTAGTGATGTGACTTGCTACGATACAACACCAAACTACGACCAATTATAATCATAGAGTGGAAATGCATAATAGTGGTTAAGTCTAATTATCGACTCGGGCTCTAGATCTACTACTTACCTAGTGAACTCCTACTATCTAGTAAGACTAAGCGAGTGTAATAATTTTAGTGCAAAAGAAACAAAAGCAAGTAATGGTCTGGTTCTTTTCGGGTTCAAAAGGTCATCCAGGTATGGTTCCCCCTAGTGTGCAGCTAGTTCAGGTTATACGGTCCCAAATTACTCATATTGATAGATAAAACGCGGAAAGTTCTTACTGGTCTGGAATTTCGACTAAAGTTATCCAGAACCTCTTGATTCGAATACCCGGTGCGAGACTAACCTCCACCGGCATACACTAACCAAGGTTAAACACACGAAACTTCCACTACTGGCCTTTGTTCTAGTACGGAGCAGTGAATCGACTTCTCGAGTAAAGCAGTTGATTAAGCACTTTCAATTTAAGGTTGCTCTTTTAACCTATGCAGAGACTATCGTTCTAGGTTAAAGCCGGAATTACACAGGTTTGATCAGGACTCATGTAATGGTGAATAATTCCTCAACTGAATTTATCAAATCAATCATTCATAACATGGGGTTCATTCAATCATTCCTAACATACACAACTAGGATTCTTCATACCCAGATGAAATAGAAAATTATGGAGAGATGTGAGAACGTCATGCTTGGAGTAGACATCATCAGAATGACAATGGGCAACTGTTCCTGATGGTTAATCGGTACTCCGAGGTTTGGGAATCGAGCTCCGAGGTCTTCAGATCACTCCAATCCTTGCCCAAGGGTTCCTCTTCATCACTCCCTCTCTCTAGGGTTCTTTTTCTGCCTTTAGAAGTCCAAAAATCCGGATCTTTTGCAAATTTCCCGAGCAGCCTATAAATAGGATGAGAATCCGCGAGTTACAGCCGTAGTTACAGCCATAACTTGCCTTGACCGCCCGTAACTTGTCGAGGAATGACTTTGTTGTTGCACTCCGTAAACCAAGAGTTACGAATTCCTTTGTGGAGTTATGGTCTCAACCATAACTGGAAGAGGGAGACCGTAACTTGAAAAACATCTCTGGAACTATTGACTTCGCCAACAAGGAGTTACGGGTGCAAGGGCTGAGTTACGGCCTAGATCGTAACTTTGTAGGTCATCCCGTAACTCCATAAAGTCTTCTGGAACTCAAGCCTTCTTCAGTCACCAGTTACGGCTCCTCGGGGGAAGTTATGGGCCAGACCGTAATTCACAAGGTCCGGCCGTAACTTCCAGGTGCTCGTTGTCCTTCGCTCCAAAACGTCCCAAAACCTCGCTCCATCGCGCCCATTCACGTACTAAGTCCTGAAACATCATAAACTAACATGCACAAGCGTAAATCAGGCCACGATAGCGAGAAACAAAGCTCAAACGATAAAGAAATTATGGAAAAAACATCTTCAAATATGGCGTTATCATGATGACAACCGTCCCGTGAACTCTAATATTTAGAGGTTGCCGCCGTGGTCAAGAGACGATAGGGACGAGTGTTGATGATTGCGCACATTCTTTGCACCAAAAGTTCCCGACCCCACTAGTCAAGAGATTGAGGGATTAATTCTTGCTTTGCATGTCATATCATACCCCGGTGAGGACCTTTGTTTCCCATTCGTTCATTAATTGGACTTGAATGTTATGCATGGTTAGTTGTGGTTGATAAGTGATCTTGTCGAGACTTGCATTGATTCATAAACAAGGTGAGAACTTTTCGTTTGCCCATTTTTGGTGACCTCGAATGCCGTTTGTGGTGAATGTCGGTATTGCTTGCAACTGTCCATGTGTTATTGCCAATAGCCATTGAGATTCGCCACTTTGCACCCTTTGATTGTTCCCCAAAGCATTTTGTTAGGTTGAGAGATTACATTGTGTGAAATGGTTTGCTTGGGGACAAGCAAACGTCTAAGTGTGGGGGAGTGATTCCGGCCTAATTGTACACTTTTTATGCTCATTTCTCTTTCACGTTTGTTGCAATTGAACTCCAAAAGGGGTAGTTTTGCGGGAGGTTTCTTGTGTTTCAGTGTGTTTCAGACCCTAACAGGTGAAACCAACCCTAGAGTCGAAAGTTGGAAGAAAAGGAGCAAAGACCAGGCAAAAAGGAGGAGACAACCTATGTTCATGGTCTACCATTGGAGTTCACGGTCTCCATGACCATGAACTGGTACCACAACCCATGAACCAAGGAGCGTCCAGAGATCGTTTTTTGGTTACTGACGCCAAGGCTGTTCACGATCGCTAAGGCCGTGAACTGTAACCACAAACCGTGAGCCCAAGAAGTGAAGCGGTGCGTTTTGGTTCAACACACTGTGTTCACGGAAGCGTTTCGATATTCACGACCATGAACGCAGGCCGTGAACTGTGCTCGATCTTAGTATAAAAGGCCAGCTGAAAGCAAGAAGAAGAAGAGAGAGACCTAGTGTGAGAAACTTTTTCTTCTTCATATTTTAGAGCGAGAAAGTGGCGAACCAAAAGCAGAGGGGAAGCAAGGGTTTCGTCTCCAAGCAAGGATTTGGGAATTCCTCCCCCAAAGGAGGATCTCTTCAACACAAGGAGCAAGGCTTGCATCTTTTTGATGGTTTTCCATCTTCTCTCTTGTGTTTTCCCTTCTCCTATCATGGAGTAGTCCCTTCTTTCACTTGGGTGTTTGTAAACCCTAGCTACAATTATGTGAATGCTTGTATGAATTGAATGAGTTGTGTGTGGTTGTGTTTAATGTGAATGTGGAGGTATTATTCATTAATGATTGTGCTGTGTGAAAGCCTATCAATCCAATTGCCATTCTAACCTAGACAGAGAGAAAACCCTCTTACTTTCTTTGAAAGAGGCTTGAATGTTGGGTTTTCTTGGGTAATCATTGCCTCCTAGTTAGGTTAATGCAGGGCAAACCTTCCATTTCATATTAGCACTTAGGGTTTGGTTGTGGGTGGTTGTCCGAACTCCAATTCGATGGTGAAGTCTAACCATTCCTTAGTCAATAGGTTGAAAGGGTCGCATTAGTGGATTTGATCGTATCCCATTTCCTCGACCGTGAGACTAAGAGGGTAGCTTTGGCTACTTTTCTTCTAACCATTCCTTAGTCAATAGGTTGAGAGGGTCGCATTAGTGGCTTGGATCGTATCCCATTTCCTCGACCTAGAGACTAAGAGGGTAGCTTTGGCTACTTGTTAGACTTCCCTATGGTTTATAACCCCCTAACCACACACGATCATTCGATCCTTCAAGTCTTAATTGTTAGCTAGGGGGAGCAACACCCGGGTGAAGCCTTCTCAATTAGTGTCAAAAACCATTTCATCTTTGCAAAGTAATTTTAGCTTTAGAACTTTTTTTCACCCAAACCAATCCGGTAGATAATGTTTCAAACAATCGAAGTAGCAGTACATGGGTCGGCCCGGGTTTATATTTAAACATACTTTCCCTATATTGCACCTATCTAAGGTTTATACTTGGGCCTTAGGTGTGATTTTATTGTGATAGTCAGAGCGAGTCAGGATTTCGTGGTTTTTCAGTCACTCTTTTTTTTTTTCAAAAGATAGAGGGTACGAGAAGAAAGGAGTAGATCAGGAGATGTGAGGACGATTTGCAAAGGGCAATGATTCGTATGGCCATATCTCTTCTTCGATACAAATCTGTTCTCACCGGTTGGCGTATCTTCTAGTACACAAGAGACTGGAGATTGATGCAGAAGAAGGGGAGAACGACGCAGAAGCGGCAACGAATCGCAAAGGACGACCATGATTTGCATACCCAAAACCACTCACTAACTCTCTTTGCTTGACTGTGGTTATGGTTCGTTTGTTGATTTGGATATGCTTGTAGGTGCAACGAACGAGAAGAAGAAGACGAGTGAAGAAAAAGCGGACCCTCCCCTTGATAAGTATAATCGTCGCGTCCTTCCTCTTCTCTTGCCTCCCCTCCATAGTGGGATCAGAATTGATGCTCTACCACTGCCTTGATTAGCATTCCAACATTATGGATGAAACCATGTTGAGGGTGCCGCCGGGATTTGGTTACGTTGTTGGTTTTGCCCCCATTGGATCAACTACTACCGAGGACGTCGACACGAAGTTGACCACCACATAGGACAAAGTTAATGGAGTTGGACAGAGAGTGACAAATGATGAAACAGTCTAATAATTCCAATGACCAACCTTGCAACTTACCCATTATTGACGCTTTCTTCACAATCTCAATATCAAATTTTCGAGAGATATACACTTTCACGCTTTTGCTGTCGCTCAAACTATGAATATGAATTTAATGCATTCATGCGAACTAGAATTTTGAAATTAGTAATGTCGGTGTAACGTATTAATAATAAATTAATAATCAAGGAGAGGAAAAGAAAATGGATTCGGCGACACATTTACAATTTACAACCCAGTCCACCCAGAAAGCAAAATCGTTGGATTTAAAAGGTGCGGAAAAGCTGCTTGGTAGCTGTGTGTAGCGTTCCAATCCAATCGCTGCCTCAATTTGCTCTGCTCTACAGAACTCCTTCTCGTTCTTCTCTGTTTGGCTCCGGGGAAAATCCAGTAAGCTGCCTGCTTCCTTTCTCTACCTCGTGTGTTTCTGTTTTGCCCTCTTTCCTTCAGTCTTTGCCCCATTTTCTGAATGTCAGAACTCGGAAGCAAACCGACCTTGCACCATCGTGATTTGAAACATAGGCGTCGCGTAGGTTAAGCTTTCGGACTCTTAATTGGAGATCTGAAATACCTGGCTCAGATTTCGATACAATGTTAGCGGAATCTGTTTAGACGGCTCTCCTTGAACTGCTACCGATACCATCTTTGCATCTTGGACTTGCACAGCATATGGAAATTCGAGGTTTAGATTGAATTGGTGAACTCATGATTGTTTGGCCCTAGGTGACATCTTGTTACTCTTGTGCTAAGCATTAGACTTTGAGATCTTTGAAAGTTTTGGAACTGACAGAGATCAAGAATGCATTGATTTAGCGCCTCTGCTTCTCATGGGTTGGATTTACCCTTTTCATTTTGATCCCATTTAATCTCCTTGTTCATGTTGCGACCCATCCTCATCTTATGAACTGGTACTGACACATTGTTTCACATCCTTTTGTTTTGATCTCTGCGCTTCCTGGGTTTGCTTCATGCGTTTGGTGGAGCATTAACTGTTGACTTGAAAGACTTTCGTGTCTGTTGTGTCTTAATATACAGATTTTGGAGCTTCTTGTGTAACTGTTGAATTTGTAAGAATGGGCCGTGGAGTTAGCAGTGGGGGAGGGCAGAGTTCTCTGGGATACCTCTTTGGAAGTGGTGAGGCTCCAAAACCAGCCCCTAACACTAACAGAGCTTCTCCGAAAGTGGAACAGGCCCCTGCCCCTGCTCCTGTGGCTGCTGAGCCTGTCCAAGCTGCTGCCCCTGCAGAGGGCACCCAGCAGATCCCAGCAGGAATTGCCGTCTCTGGCAGCAAAACAAATAACTATTTCCGCGCTGATGGCCAGAACACTGGCAATTTCCTCACTGTATGAATCTTACTCTCAACCTTCTCTTCATTTTAACTTTTTTTTTTTTAGCATAGTTTCAATAGTAAGTGCATTCCCTTAGGGACCAGAGTTCTGGAACTATATTCCATTGTCACAGCTCCTAATTCTTTTGTTATGCATAGTGACAGGGTGCATCTTCTTCCTTATGCATAGTGCGAGTTCCGAATTCCAATATAATTGCAATAGTTATCAGACTGCCATTCGTCATCCATCTTGGATATGATGATAACCAGTTTGGAAGACTTGGACTGACTTTTGCAGACTCACCAGTTTTTTTTTATACTCCTCTTGTTCTAGATCTCATCCCTTCAAACAGGGAGTCCTCAGTGCTGCACTCTCCTTAATTTGAAAACCTAGTTGTTCCACCAACCTGAATGAAAAATACTTGGATGAATCAAAGTGACTATATTTAATGGTCTGTTATCAGTAAGCAGTAATTGGGTTTCGCAATCTCAACTACATTGTGTAACCTATTTTTGTTTGGATCGAATGTGTAGGATCGACCATCGACCAAGGTACACGCTGCTCCTGGAGGTGGATCTTCTCTGGGTTATCTCTTCGGTGATGCCAAGAAGTGAGACAAAGTCACGAGTTGTGTCAAAGTTACTCTGCGCCCTGCCGTTATATTTTTTCCTATCTTCCCTGAATGAATTATGGGTACCTCTTTTGATTGTAGTAAGGGCCATGTATACAGCTGAATATTTGCATGTGTTTCCAACCTGAAAAACAGTTAGGTGTCTTTCCGTCTCAAGGCAAGGGTCTACAATTACATCTCATTTCTACCCTCTGGGAAGCAACTTTACAGATTGCAATCCCCACAACCTTTCTCAGCTTGGTTCATATAATCTCTTCACCTGATTTTGCTTAAACTGTCTGTCTTAAAACTATGGAACAACGGCAGGGAAGTGAAGTCCGGAAAAAGGGAGGCCTGTCGGTTCAGTAGCAGCATAATTTGCGATATATTATATGATAAACAATAGTTTCTCAACAGAAGCTATAAGTCTACATTTGGATAGTACCAGCACCTAAAATCTAATCTAATAACCTGAATCAGATACAAATTCTGTATTAGGAGAAAGGGCAGAGCGCTGGGAGGAGCACTCGTAGCATATTTAGGTGGTCTAATCAGAAGAGGTAAAATATATCTCTCTCTAGCACCACCCTGAAGTTGCCAATTTACAGTTCCAGCCTTCTAGGTAGTTAGAAAACAGTTGAATCTTTATCCAATCCTGAAAAGTGATTTCACTTCAGCATTGCATACCACTATCACCAACTGTTCCAAGCCCATCTGCAAGCAACACATCAAACAGCTGTACGATGAAACTAAGACACAAGATCGAAAACTTTAGAACTGGCTTCAACTCGATAGGCTAACTCTGACAAATGGTAACAAACTATGACAAGACTTGCCCTTGGTCTTGGTGAGCATGTTGGCAATTGGCACCTTGCCCAACCCACGTTGCAACTTTGATTAAACATCCTTTATATAATAAATAAGTAAATATGTGGATTTAGGCACTAGAATGACAGAGTTGCAGCCTACTGAAAATTGTGATCAGATTATGTTGCGTTTGTTTCGATATAGCAGTGATTTAATTGTTCTGTAGAAAGAACTACATGGTCGGTTCAAACCTTGGTTTAAGGAAAAAGCAACTGATTAGTAGTAGTCGTAGCAGTTGAAGCAGCACAAGTATCTTTTTTAATATCAATAGCGGAGTCTGGTGTATCACTCATCATATTATCATTCAAATTCAGAGTGGCTGTTGGTTCTTGGTTTCCACCACTCTGCAGACCATCACGTGCAGAAATGACTCATTCCTTCAGGAGTTGCATTCCAAGTTCCAACAGCACAGATGCAAACCTCTCACTAGAGTCACCATCTTGTTCTAGCAAAAATTGGAAATTAACTTCAAACTCAGCAACTTCACCTCTTTATCCTCTGGAGCTTAAAATTCTCCCTAAACTGAACACTGACAAGAAACATGCACACCACTAAATTCTTGATCTCTAACACCCACAGTTGGTCAGACCTATCAACTTCCAAACATATCATTTCAAGCTTTTGATAGTACTCTATGAACTGGACAAAACAACAACAACAACAACAACAACAAATATATATATATCTCACACCTCTTTGCGTTGAGAGACATCAGAAGAAGCTAGACTTTTCACATTAGCAGCAACAGTAGCTTCTGCACTTGGATCTTGCAATGTAGACTCCTTATGAGCACCATCAGCTTGAAGCCGATCAATTGCATCCTGGTTAGTGATTCTAGATGCCTTTGATTTGCTGGCATAATGACCATTCAACTCAGCGCCACCACTTTCATCCACTGATCTCTTCCTAGAATTGGCATACAGTCAAGAATAGACAGACATTGATAAAAGCAATTCAGTGACAATCATCAATAATTGACCCAGAAAAGGAAGAAAGAATATGAATATAATCGTACCTACTATCGTTATGGTAACATGCAGATGGAGGAGAGGGTGGTTTGTTGGAAAATAGGAGCTACACAAAGGCTTTCCAACTATAATAGTTTCAATATTATGTGCATGTGGGAAGGTTTTGGTCACTTTGGCTTGGAAAGTTTTCTTCCCCTGTTGAACATTGAATTGTACAGTCCCCATGCCTGCAAAAGGTTTTCTCAAACTTTTTAGGAGCTTATGTTTCTTTCCAATACCAGTTTTGATGGTTAGGATGGGATAGCCAACAGTTTGAAGCCCACCCTAACCATGCAGCAGTGATATCTTAAATACCATATAAAGTACACATGCATCTGTATCTGAAGCTTTTGTATTATATTATATTTTAAGCCTTTGCTAGGGATATGCCACTAAGAACACAAATTATTGTATTGCACTACCATAGAATAGTTATCAACTAATTGATGCTAAACCAAATACACGCAATCAAGAATTGTTGTGCTCGACGTACAGACCAAACACCCTAAAAAGTGTTTTCATTTTGCCCCTGCATCAGTAAAAGCCACTTTTGACCTAAAACCAAAACCTTAGAATAAAAATACGGAAACTCATCTTCCATTCAAATAAAAAAGGGAGGGGGATTCAGCAACTCATTGAATTAGGTAACAAAAACCCATTAATTCTCATCATAGACGACCCATTTCATCGCCACAGAATAAGTAATCTATGCCTACTTTACAATGTCTATGGGAAAACAAACCCACATCAGCAAACAAAAGAGATGAAACCAATTGGTCGGAGTGGAATACTGAAGAACTTGAATAATAATTGATAGACGTGCTGTAAGCAGACATTCAGGATTTAGATAACATAAATCCACACAAAAATTATTAAATCAGAGGTCAATAGGGTATGAAAGAGTCTATTTAAGACTCTGAAGCATCCATTTAGAAAGGAATAATCACAGCACGTTTCCCACCTTAAAAGAACTAGACCGGTGGAACATCCTACTCAACAGTTGACAAAATGATAAGCACCAAGTGGAAGTCCGACCATGAGAAAAAACTTCAGTAGTAGTAAATAAACTATTCAATAATGACACCAAATTGGCAAGACCGTCACAAAACAGTTAAGTTTTAAGAAGTATCAACATTCAACGCAAATAAAGTTGATGCCAAGAAAGGAAATCCAACATCTCATGTGATGCCTCAAATGTTGTAAAGAAAAGTGCTCTGGTTGACACATGAATATTATGACACCTCAATGCATAGCTACATCCTAATTCTAAATTGAAATCCCTAGAACACCAACACATGTAGTATATGACTATAATAAAAGTCGAATTTGAGAACCAGATATTTGTCTGGATTGAGACTTTGTTCTTGGCATTTTAGTTTCAGTTGCTTCCTTAAGGATAACCTCTCTACTTGCTGCTCACCTTGAATGTTTGTCAGTTGTATAATTGAATGAATGAGACAACAAGAACATGAAGCTGTTTCAATACATGAGGAATATTTCATTATGGATATCCTAATAGAGAAAAAAGTTTGCATTTGGAATTATGTGGTAGACCAGTAGAAGTTTCCAAGCAAAAAAAAAATTGGTGGAAAGATGATGGACCTATATGAAAGTAAAACATGCCATCCAATGCTTCAAGATGCTTATTGTAACCACCAATCAGCACAAGCATACCACTCTTTATAGGATCCAAGCTGTCATCGGTTGCAGAAAATTTTGCACAAGGTCGGTTATCTAAAGCCATTACCTTGTCCACATGGCAGACTCTACATTAACAACAGCTGAAGTACGACTGAAATATAAAACCATAAAAATGGAGTAGTGAGGGAGGGGGGAGGGAGAGGAGAAAGCAACAATTTCCAATGGGTATATCACACATCAAGCTCACATGTAAAAACTAAGCAACCAGATTAGATCATGAAGAAGTTAGTTTCCTGGAATCTTTAGCACAGTTTATTAAAAGTACACGTATCTGCAAATGGAGATCCAAGCACTAGACCACTGCTTAACTCCTACATCCATTGGACTAATCAGTATCTTATGGCTACAATGTACTTGAACTTCACAGTTAAACGAGTCCAATGTTGCTTTTTATGTCTTGTAAGCCTTGACCGAAGAGCTCCAAATATTGTAACTGGCTACAATTCCTTAAAGTAGGACAAGCTACTACTTCAACACACTATATCGGGCCATGTCCTAAATAAAGCTTCCCCCTTTGACATAGTTTTTCAACACACTAAATAAAGTAGGACAAACTACTACTTCAACACACTATTTTGACTAGTTTTTCTTTTTGGTCGGAAAATACAGCTTAATTTTGAAAGATTTGTCTTCCAAGAAGTAAATTACTTTAGAAGAGACAGTTGGCCAACATGGATGAGCTTCCAACTGTCCCCCAATCTTCTAGGGGAAAGAAATGCATAAGCGTTGTGCATAGTATCATTTTGCTTACCAAGATCAAGCATGTATGCACCATCGTATAGATTTTGAGAATTAGCAAATCCCCCAAAAACAAACAGGTTCTTGCTAAGAGCAATGGTGGAATGTCCCACTCGGGGTGGCAGCTTCTGGCCTGTCGTACTTAGCTCCTTCCAGACAATGGTTTCTATAGAGTAGAAGGAATATGTTAGAAACAAAGTTTCTAACGGGTTTCTAGATCAGATTTAGAGATTGGATATTTAGGGTTTATAGAATAGAATTGGGGATTTAGGGATTTGAGGAGAATTTGGGGAAGAATAGAAGAGAATCGGCCTAAGCCTTTAAAGGGATTGAGGTCAAGAATTGAGAGGATAGGGAGAGGGATTAAGGAGATAATTCTTTTATTAATTTCTGCTTAATATGACGAATGACCCAAAGTACATATATATAGGGAGATGCTAGAAAACCCTAACTCTACTAGAAGACTACTAACTATGATAAGAAATATCCTAATAATAATTGTAACCATAAATATAGAAACCCTAAAAAATCGGTTTCTAACATCTCCTCCCTCTTCAAACAAACCTTGTCCTCAAGGTTGCAGTTAGCTACGCGGACGTTCCACACTTCCATTGCGATCCCTTTACGTAGTTGCATCATTTTATTTTGCTTCTTCCTCTTCCAATTCCGATCAAGCACTCGAACAATACTCTTGGCACAAACAACTCCCGCAGTCGACCCCTACCGTTGCCTCTGTTGTCCGCATATGCTTTCGTATTGCAGCTCGAAGTCTTTCCGCCGGGGCGATGAGATCGAGTGCAAGGACGTCTCGCAAGTGGCCACATCTCTCTCATCCCTTCCCTTCTGCCATCATCCTCCTCCACAAACAGCCATCCACCATTAAAAGCTCACATAATCCCCTTTCCTCCTGTATACCTCCTCCACGTGACTTGGCTTTGCAAGCCTTGTTGCAAATGGTCACGCCCATACATGGGCCATCCAACCCTCGCCCCTCGGAACTCGGGGAACCTAATTGACTCATGTCGCAATTGTTTTCCCGTCGAAAATGACAAAGGGAGTCAGCAGAATTCCGGTTGGGGAAGAGCTTCCCCGTTTGCTCCTAGCCCCCGCAAACGTACCATCCGTCGCTTTCCGCTTGCGCCTCCCGTTAGCAAGCTCTCTACCTTGCACCCAACTCCCCACAGCTCCAAAGTGCAAAAACTTTTCTTCTTCCACATGCCCAAACGTCGCGTAGTCCCTTCGCGCATGCGTCGTCATGATCATCTCCAGGTTAGGCGAATCTACAGTAGGCGAATAGCATTCTCATCAATCCACGTCGGCACCCAACTCGCGGCTAGCTCCTCGTAGGCAGCATTGACAGAATACAAACTTCTCCGCGATGCTAAGTTGTCTGTTGTCATTTTATGGCACTCTTCAAACAGCAACTGGGGGAGACTAACTCCACCCATCCAAGAAGCCTTAGCCCGTAGCTCCGCCTCCATAGTAGCAAAGATCCATGGGATGATTAATAAAGTAGTTTTCTTAATTTCTTCCCCTTGCTCTCGACCCCTCATTACATCACCATCTACTACCACGTCCGGCTTCCTTTCAACTTCCCAGTCCATGCCATCAGCAGTCTTCATAACACTACACTCATGTATAAAATCCCCAGTCACACTGGTATTCGACCGCCACCCTTGCTCTTCTTCAACAACCACCCTACTTTCCTAAAAAACCCTTGATGCCTGCTCTTCTTGCGAGACAACATCCCCAGCTCCTATGTTCTCACCTAATTTTCCCATCCGTCCATCTCTTTCTAAATTTCCAATTGGTGAAACTAATTTCGGGCCAATTCGATCCTTCCTTCCAGCTCACACGTCATGCCATATAATTCACTAGGATCTTGATCTATTGGAAACAAGGGTAGTCCGATTCGATTCTCTTTTTCTTTGGGATATATATACCACGTGCTTTGGGCAAAATCATGTAATTGGTCCTCGACATAAGTGAAGGGGAGCCGCAAAATCATGCAATTAGTCCTCGACATATATATCCTCACCTTCACCATCACTCTCATCCTTGTCTATTTGCTTGAGGACTATATTACTGTTAGGATTACTTGAAGTACTTTCACCATTAAACATATTTCCCTTATCACCATCATTTGGAAATGATAACTCTTTGATTGATGCATTCCCTTCTTAATTGTTAAAAGGTCGGGGTTATTGGTACTGAAGGATTGGGAGATGAACGAAAGCTTGCAATGGAATGGAGATTTGGATTATTTTGAGGGTAATGGGAACAAACTACAAGCTAATTGGTAGGGTGGAAGATATCGTTGATGGAAGGAGTTGGGCGTCGACGTGTGAAAGAAGAAGATACAAGGAAGAAAATGAAAATAAATTGAGGGTTGTCTATCGGGTTAGGGTTGTGGTGTTGATTATGTTGGGTCGGGGGAAGTAAACTTGACTCGGTTCATAGGAAGAACCCGACTTGACCGGCCTAATTTTGCTCCAATTGATCTGAACCTTGAAATCGTACAAAATCATAGAAATCGTAGATTTTAAGGATTTTAGAGTTTTAAATCGGGATTTTATGGGATTTTAAGGTTCAAAGATTTTACCATAAAATCAGGATCGGAACTTATAGGTAAGATCGTAAAATCGGGATTTTGACTACATTGGCTGCATGTTTAACAACCCAAATTAATTTAAAGCACAAGTAAACTTGAGCCCAATGAGGTAACATGTGCACCAACAAGATAAGTCCATTAGCACCACAAGGGGACAAAAATGAGACAAGACGTAAGTGGCAAATGGCCACCAAGTAGGAAACTACGCATACTTTTAGTGTCACAATAGATCATTCAAGGAGTCTAGCACCTAGTAAAGTAAAAACTATGCATATCAAAAGCGGAGGAGAATAAAGAAGCAGAAATCTATCATCACCCCTAAACAAATTCCTAGTAAACAAACACAAAATCAGAAACCATTAAGCACGAAAAGGTAACTAATAAAGATGCCAAATAGTCCTAACAAAATCATGAAATGAAAACTTCTCTATCTCTGCGCCGAAATGATGACAACTCTAAGCCATAGAACAAAATTCAATGCCAAAGCATGAACAACCCACAAAAAGTAACGACCTTAACGGAAAACCACACCTCTGCATACGATATGAAAAGAGAGTAAAAAACATGACAGTGCATAACAATAAAAAGATTTGGGAGTTTCTTTCTTCTGTTTCGCGCTCTTCTTCCATTCAATTTCCCACCGAACCCAAAACCAGACAAACCCTTCAAATAGAAACCCAAAATTACAAAAAAACCGCAGCAAGAAAGTAGAGGAATGCAGAATATTTATAATAAGAAAAAGATAAGAGAGAATCATAAGAGAGGGGAAAGTAAACCCACCAGTGTCGAACACTTGAACTTGGTTGGTGTGACAATTGTCCTTGCCATAGCCACCGAAAACGTAGAGAAACCTCTCGCTTCTGATGGAATTGCAGGTGTGAAGCTTCTCCCAATGGTGCTGAGTGGGTTGCTGCTGCTGAAACTTCTCCCACCTCATTTTCCCTTATTATGTGGGGAAATTCGAGGAAAGGAAGGCACAAAAGAATCTGTTGAAAAGCGAGCAAGAGAGAGATATCAAATATGGAATCAAATTTAAAAATTTCATAGCCTTCCGCCTGGCGGGTGGCCACTGCGAGAGGCACACGAGACATAGGTGGGAGTCTGGAATAGAAGAGAATGTTTTGGGGCAGAGAATTTAGGACAAAAATAAAGGCGAGTTTGTCTGTTTATAGAATTCTCTTCTCGTGCAAATCGTGAGTATATCCATGTAAGTATTGCTTTCGTTGCAAACTTAAAATTTTTTAGTTGATATTAAACCATACAAAACAATTTCGGTTACACCGTTATATTTTGCATTCTTAAACTTAATGGTAGGTATCAAATTGAAATTTTCTACCTCAATTTACAGAAATTCTATTTTCCCTCACATTCTTCCATCTTCATTTTGGTATTATATTATGGCATCTTTTTATTTTTTTTTTCTTCAAAATTTACTACTGTCTCATTTTTTTTAACTTTATGGATTTTAATTTGATTGTAACTTTTAACTTCCTTCCAAAAAAGTAAACTTATTAAACTTATGTGGAATATAATCCTTATTCTATTTTTATTGTTTGTGATATGTTTTACATAATTGGCACCTCAGTATAAGATTTTCTTTCAGGGGTAAGTTTTTTAGGTGCCTCTCTTGTAGATTGTTTAAATTCATCTATTATGAATGTGATTCGGGTTTAATTGCACACATTTTATCCCCGTTTCCCTTGGGCGTTTGTAGCATTTCGACTCCTAAAAGGGTGGTTTTATGCTAGTTTTTGTGAGTTTTTGTGTGTTTCGGGATCGAACAAGTGAAACCAGCCCTGGAGTCGAAAGTTGGACGAAAAGAGGTGAAGACCGGGCAAAGAGGGTGATCCAGGCACAGTTAACGGTTCCCCGTGGGAGTTAATGGTCCACTATGGTCGTGAACTCAAGCTCAAAACCATGAATCGCGATGCGGCCAGGGAGAAATCTGCATTTACTACTGCGGGACTAGTTCACGGTCAACAAGACCGTAAAGATTGAGGCAAAACCGTGAACTCCTGATGGCGAAGCGGTGCGTTTCGACATCACGGTCTGTGTTCAAGGATGCATTGAAGAGTTCACGACCGTGAACTGAGGCCGCTCTTGGTATATAATGTGAGCTGAAAGGAAGAGAGAAGGGAGGGCCCAAGTGTGAGAAAGTGTCTTCTTCTTCAGATTTTAGAGAGAGAAAGGACGAACCAAGGAAGAAAGAAGGCTAGGGTTTCTCTAAGTGGTGGTTTGGGAAGATTCTCCCCAAGAGAAGATCAACACAAGCTCAAAGGAGATTGGAGGCATCACCATGATGGTTTCTACCTCTTCCTCTTGTGTTCTTCCCCTTCCTAGCATGGAGTAGTACTTTTTTCTAGGGATGGCAATTTTGACCTGACCCGTTTTACCCGACCTGTTTGACCTGCTTTGGGGCGGGCATGGGTAGTCTCATCGACCCGACCTGCCCTGACCCGTTCTTGTCTAAATTACATGTAATCTTAGTCAAATTACTTAGAATTTTCCTTTTATTGCATAATATTTTAGCTATAATAAAGTTGTAAATTAGTAAAAACCTCAATTTCTCCAATAATTTAACTACAATTGTCATAATATTGTTTGTTTTCTTAGTCTTATAATAAAAATAACGAATATTTCTAATATTTTTCATATAAATTACATACCCATTTGGTCGACCTGCCCCGACCCGCGACCCGTGATCAATTACTCGACCTGGACCCGACTTGCCACGGGGCAGGTCTGGGTACCAAGAAACCCGCCCCGGACCTGCCCCATTGCCATTCCTATTTTTTCCACTTGGGTGTTGTGAAACCTCAACTATATGCCATGTAGTTGTTGTGTGAATTGAATGATTGTTTATGGGTGTTGTTTAATTCGTGATTGAGGTAATTTTCATATTGATTGTGCATGTTGGTGCTTAGCAATCTAATTGGCCATTCTAACCTAGATGAGAAGGAAAACCCCCTTTCAAGGGAGGCTCAATTAAGCCACCTATCTAGGTTAATGTAGGGCAAACCTCTATGTTGAATTAAGTAATTTGATTAAGCGGGATTAAGCCGACCAACCATTGGGTTGAGTGAGAGCGTAAATCAACCATCGATTGCCTTAACCAAGAGGGCTACTTGAGTAGCTAATAGACCATTGATTACACATGTTTTTACCCCTATACTTGAGCCATTTGAGATGTCGATTCTCACGTTTTAGGCCGATTTCATGCTAGATTGTTCTTGTTTGTGATATTTCAGGTCCTAGTACGTGAATGAAGGTTTGGGAACGAGTTAGGGGTCGATTGGACGAAGATTGGACATTTGGCGAGAAGCTGATGGAGCCACACGTGCACGCCTAAAACCTACACAGTCGTGTGACCTGGCCGTGTGACATCAAATTGCGTGGGCAAAATAACACGGGCCGTGTAGGGGACCACTTGTGGCCGTATGGAAATTCCAGGGAACTCACACGGGCATCCTGGAAATCCACACGGCCGTGTGGGTCTGGCCGTGTTGGAAGCCTGAAGTCACTTAACGAAACGCCGCGTTATCAAACTCACACAAGCAGCTGGGGAAGTCACACGGCCGTGTGGCCTGGCCGTGTGAGTCGGGAATTTTTGGGTTTTAACCCAATTTGCAGCCAAAGGATGCGAGGTTCCGAGTTTGAGGGAGAAAAAGTGATACCTAGAGAGAGAAAGTGACGAACCTGACTCTGCAAGTGTCCTTGATCGATCTCCATCACCATTGGAGCGCGGCTTGAGCTTGGAGAACACCTGATTGAGTGCCAGAAGCAGATTCCCATCCTTCACAGTATGGTTTCCGCATCTGAGCTAGATTTTCCATCTCTCTCTATGGAGTAACTTTCTTATTCACCTAGGTATGAAGAACCCTAGATTTGTATGCTAGGTCTGATTGTATGAACCCAAGTACAGATTCATTGGTATGATTATGTTCAATTGAGGTTTGATTTGTTGAATGGCATGAATCATGATCAAATTCCTGTTGTTTCTGCTTTAACCTAGAAAGAGAATATCTGCTTAGGTTGATAGAGCACGATTGATTGAAGGTAGCGAATTGACGACTTTTGTCGAGAAGTCAATTCACAATTCTGTACCGAATTTACTTCGATAGTGGAGGTTTGGTTCGTTAGGGCTTCATTTTGTTTACTCCGGTGGAGGTTAGTCACCGTCTGGAGAATCAGATTGAGAGGGTCTGGAGACCTTTAGTCAAGACTTCAGACTGTTTAAGAACCTGCCGCAGTATAACTATCATCGAACCTGAACTTGGTAAATTACAATCCGGCTTAACTGCAGTCTAGGGGGAACCATATACGGGTGACCTCTCTCGACTTGAAAACAACCTTTTTACTTGCTTTGCTTGTTTGCTTGTTTGGACCTTCACTAAAAGTTCACTGCTAAATAATAAGAACTCACAGAGTAGTCATCACATCTAGGACCCGCGTTGACATTGAAACCCAAACCCGCTATACTACGCTTTAGGAGGTGGTTACACTTGGCCATTTTCTAGAGTGACAGTAGGAGCTAGTCAAGTTTTTGGCGCCGTTGCCGGGGATGGCTAGGTTGTTGAAGAAACGTAAATTCTGTTAATTTAGCTTTTCTTTTTCGCATTGTTTGCTTTGTCACACTTGTGCCTTCACGGGTTTGCTTTGTCACACTTGTGCCAGTCAGGAGGTTTACTGCCGTTGGATCCGGAGCTTGAACGCACCTGTCGCCAACTTAGGAGACAATAGCGAGCTAGACTGGCTACGGAGGAGCGCATAGACAGCCACTTAAGCAGGGATTCCGAGGAAGAGTACGCGATGGAAGGAGATCATAACCCGCCGCAAGGGATACCTCTCCCGGTTCCCCCAGTGAACCAGATCATGGGGAACAACCCAGTACCCCAGGCATATGGGGTTCATCATCAACCACCGCCGCCGGGTCCCACCTTGGAGTACTACTACACTCCACGGATAGCTCATATCCACCCTGTCATCCTCTACCCGCCCATTTCATCGAACAACTTCGAGATCAAGCAATGCTGGATTCAACTCATTACATCCTCTATTCAGTTTCATGGCTAGAAGGATGATGAGGCAAGGGTGCACCTTTCCCGTTTCCTACAGCTGACGAACGGGTTCAAGCTAAACGGTGCCCCTGATGACGCAATCCTCCTTCATCTCTTCACCCTTTCTCTGGCGAGGCATGCTAAGAGGTGGTTGGAGACCCAACCCCCATTGTCCATCACTTCTTGGGACGATTTGGCCGACAAGTTTGTGAACAGGTACTATCTAGCATCGAAGACCACAGAGATCCAGCGGGAGATCACTCACTTCCGCCAAGAGCTAGACGAATCAGTTCGTGATGCATGGGAGCGGTACTCGGGGTATTTTTGGAAGTGCCCGCACCATGGTTTCAGTGATGCATTCACCGTGGGGAACTTCTACAGTGCTCTCTCTCCAGACAGCCTGAGGGTGATTGAGTCTCTATGCCCAGGAGGGGATATTCTTACTAAGACTCCACCCGAACTGAACTAAATGATCAGTACCTTGGCTGCCAGAGATCATTCCTGGGGGCAGAGCACCAGAGGCAGGAATTCCCAGGATCGTGGTGTGCACGCCATGGAGGCTAGGTTTGGACCGAGCAGCAGGTGGCTGAGTTAGTGCAGACATTGAAGCAGCCCAACAGTCTTATTCCGGGCAGGTCTAGGCGGACCTCCAATAGCTCAATGTTAGTGGCGTGAGAGCTCAAATCATCTGGTGGAAGACTGCCAGGCTATGCGGGAGTCTTCTACTCCCCAAGAGCAGTTGGACTTCATCGCCAATGTTTGGCGCCTTGACCCGTACAACAATACATACAATGAGGGGTGGCGCCAGCATCCCAATTTCGCTTGGAGTAGCAACACCACTAAACCACCTGGTTTCCCAGCACCAGTTGGTGGTTTTCAG